GTCATAACAGCAGCTGCTTCAAAGGATTTTCATGTGTTACACTGCCCAGCACTAAGACAGGGAGTGCCAGCAAAGGGAGAGCGACGGAGACAGAGACAGACAGGGAGCGGGGAGAGGGGTGGGAGCCGCCTGGCAGAAGCCTCACCTGCCGCTCTGGCCCCCTCCGCCCCACCCCAAGCGCAGCTGCTGGGGCCGCCAGAAGTCCAGGCCCAGCTCTCCTGGCTACCTCCCTCTGCTCATCCTTGGGGGTCTGGGTTCACCTGGGTCCCTTCGTGACCTCTGAAAGCAGAGGTGGGTGGATCGCTGCCTGTCCAGCTACAAGGTGGGCACAAAGCGGATCCTCTGGGAGTAGGCCAGGTCGGCGACGTAGAGGAGCAGGTTGACGTAGGTGAAGGTGGCCACCACCAGCTGGCTGTCCCAGGGACAGCTGCCCGTCAGGCAGTCGGGGGGCCTCCTGGGCTCCCCGTACTTGGGGTCGAAACAGAAGACGGGCCAGATGACCGCAGCACTGAGATAGAGGAGCACGGCCAGGAAGGTGTACATCACCACCACGCGGTCGAAGGGGCAGCCCAGGTTCCCCGTGTGTCCCATCACGCTGAGGGCCACCACGGCCACCGTGGCCAGGAAGCACAGGCTGTAGACGGCCACACACCACTGGGTGGCCATGTAGCGCCCGTAGCGGCTGTCGTGGACCAGTGCGCCGAATATGATGCAGGCTACGAAGGCCTGGACGATCTTGAGGAGCCCCGACACAGTGGCCATGTAGCTGGCCACCTGGCCTGGCCGGGCTCGGGTCAGGGCCACCTCTGCGGCATAAGCCAAGAAGAGGAGCCCCGCGAAGACGCTGGCTGCCAGGCGGAAGTCCCTGGTGGCACAGCCCTCGGGCTCGGGCGGGCACTCCAGCCGCGTGAAGTAGAGCGGGTAGATGACGGCGGCCGTGGCGGACAGCAGCGTGGCCAGCATGGCGAAGGCTGCCGTGAAGTTTCCCCAGGACAGGCGCAGGCAGCCGTGCAGCCGGGTGAGCTCACAGGCCACCACCAGGACCGAGAGTGCGAAGCAGAAGCCCCAGGCGGCCATACAGAAGGTGCCCTGGACGCCCGCAAAGCCGCCCCGGTGGGCCACCAGGCTGAAGGTGGTGCAGCCGAAGGCCAGCTGCAGCGCGCGGGCAGTGCCCACCGGGGACGTCACAGCTCCCAGGTGCAGGTAGCCGCCCCCGGGGGGCTCCATGGTGCTGCCCATGTGGCCGGCCGCTTCCCCACCCCACACAGTGCCTGGCGGCCCCGGGGTCTCTTCTCTGTATCTCCTGCGGCAGCGGCAGGTGCCGGCAGCCCGCAGTGGCGGTGACGCGGGGTGACATTGCAGCAGAGCCGCCTCTCTGCCGCCCGTGTGGGGAGGGCCCCCCAGCGCTATAAATAGGTGACTGTGATCAGAGCTCTGGAATAGCAGCCTGCGCGCCGGTCCCCATCCCAGAGGAACATCTGACCCTTGCGTCCCACGCCCAGCCCCTGCCCAAACCATTAACCCCTTGGCTGCTGGCACCGCCCCCACCTCCAAAGCACCTGCGTCTGTCGGTTAGTCGCTCCACTGCCAGTGGGAGAGGTGAAGGGAGAAGGGCAGAAAGGGGCCGCCTCCAGGGCCAGCCTGTGTTGGAGTGGGGGAGGGGCGCAGTGGTGGTTGGGGGTTGCTCTGGGAGGGCTGGGCTGGTATTCCCCTGGTGTCCTTCCTCGAGGGGGGCTTGGTTAGGAGCTGGGGTGGTTTCACGACCCCACCGTCTTGTCAGCTGTGATTCCTGGGAGGTGGTGGGGAAGGGGAGTGGAGATCCCATGCCCCACTCCCAAGGGTGCTCGCCCTCATTCTGCACAGCCCCAGCCTGACCTGGGAGGTGGAGTTCTAGTTACCATTTGAGGGGGCACAATGGAGCTCTTTGCTCGTCCCTCCTAAACATGTAAACACTTAGGAAAAAACTCAACCCTCCCATTTTTTAGGCAAAAATATTTAAAATATAGGAAATATCTTTGAAGACTACGTGTTTTTGACTATAAGAGTAGAACCTGCTCAGGCCCAGTCAGGACAGGAACAGGTAGAGGAAAATGACCTGTAATTAATCTGCCTGTAATTCTGTCTCTTGGCTCAACCGGGATGAACATCTCGTGTATGCCGTTGGCCCTCCACATGCACAGGTTCTCTATCTGCGGGTTCAGTCAACCGCAGATTGAAAACATTCGTGGGAGAAAAACTCCAGAAAGTCCCGAAAAGCAAACCTTGAATTTGCCCTGAGCCAGCAACCATTCACATAGCAGTGACTTTGCATCAGGCATCACAAGTCATCCAGGAATGACTTAAAGTCTCTGGGAGCGTGAAAACCACAGGGAAACAGAGAGACTGCTATGATGAGCTACCCGCCAATCAACTGGGCAGCCCGGAAGAAATGGGTAAGTTCTTAGAGTCATGCTGTCTTCCAAGACTGCACCATGGAGAAACTAGAAAACCTTAACAGACTGATCACTAATAGAGATTGAAACATTAATTAAAAACCTCCCCCAAAATAGAAGTCCAGGACCAGACGGCTTCATATGTGAATTCTACCAAACATTCTATCTTTCTCAAAATCTTCAAAAAAAATCGAAGAGTAGGGAAAGCTATGAGGCAATAAAGATAAAAGATTAAAAAAATGAAAGATAAAAATTAAAAAAATAAAAGATAAAATTGAAAAATAAAGTCTAAGGAGAATGTGTATAAGTTATATGCAAATACTACACCATTTTGTACAAGGGGCTTGAGCGTTGGTGGATTTTGTTATCCTGGGGGGTCTGGGAACCAGTCCCCCTCTGACACCAAGGGACGACTGTATGCACATCCTTATGAATGTTTCCCCAACTTTTCATTTAGAAAAATGTCAGATTTACAGAAGAGTTGCAGAACAGTGCAATGAAAATTCATACCTCTTTCTCCCAGATTCGAGAATTATTAATATTTTTCCCTGTTTGTGGTCTGACTCTCCCTCTCTCCAATGATAATTCATAACAAATAATATTAATTAATTCTGGAGATACAATAATTCTCCCCAGGTACTTCCACGGACACCTCCTGAGAACAAGGCAGTTCCCCTACAGAACCTGAACACAGAGACCGCATTTGGGGAACTGAAGCATGATCACCTAGAACACAGTCTGTCTTCAGGTATGCCGACCTGTCCCCAAAATACACTTTATAACTCTTTGAATTTTTGCTCCGGGATCTGATTGGAATCATGCATCTGGCTGTTGTGTGTGTCTGTTCCCTTTGTTCTGGAATGGTCTCCACTATTTCTTTTCTTTTCTTTCCTTCTTTTTTTTTTTTGCTAAAAATACCTTTATTTTCTTTTGAGAAAGTCCCTCCTGTGCTCCATGATTGCATGCAGTCTTTTTTTTTTTAATTGAAATGTTGTCGGTTATAATGTGTCAATTTCTGGTGTACAGCACAGTGTCCCAGTCGTGCATGTACATGCATTTATTCATTTTCATATTCTTTTTCATTAAAGGTTATTACAAGATATTGAATATAGCTCCCTGTGCTGTACAGAAGAACCTTTTCTTTCTTTCTGTCTTTGCACATTTTTTGGTTTGTTTTTATTTGGGGGGCAGGTAATCAGGTTTATTTGTTTATTTTAACGGAGGTGCGGGGGATGGAACCGAGGACCTCCTGCCTGCTGAGCACATGCTCTGCCCCTGAGCTGCGCCCTCCCCCTCCACTTCTCTATTTCACAACACTGTTGCTTTGAAGAGCCCAGCCAGCAGCCTTGCAGGTTCTTTCGATGTGTACTTTGTTTCCTCATGGTTGGGTCCTGGCTAAACACCCTCTGCAGGAAGACCACGCGGGGAGATGTGGTGTGGGAGGAATCCTGGGTGTCAGCCATGCCAGACTCGGCACCAGCTGCTGGAGCTCCCCGGGAAGGGAGGTGCGTGCCCTCGGGGCTCCTTCCTGTCCTCTTCACACAAGGAAACAGGCTGCTTGACCTGAGCTGCCTGGTCTCGGCGGGCAGCCACCCATCCCCAGAAGGGGCATGTCTGGAACTCTCCAGGGAGCCGCACCCAGACCAGGGTCTTCAGAGCCTCTCCTGGGACCAGATTTCCTGACCCAAGTGCCACGAACCCCTGGGGAAAGCTCTTCCAGCTCCACTGGGTGGGCAGGCCATGTCTTCCCCTGAAATGCAGCCGGAAGATGCAGGAGAGGGTGAGGGGAGGACCCCGGGCCTGGGTCCCACCCGTTCCCCTTTTCCCAGTTACTCTCAGCTCCTTCTCTGAAAGGCGCCTTCAGAATCTGAGAACAAATCCCCAGCAGTCACCTTTCTTCACTTTGCCGTCCTGGCTCCCTGCCCTTAACCAGGCACGGCCTCCCCCTTATCAACAGCCCTACCAGAGTGATGCATTTTTTTACCATCAATGGACCTACACTGACTCATCTCCATCCCCAGAGTCCGCAGTTTACATCAGGATTCACTCTGAGGGTTGTACCTTCCGTGAGTCTGGACAAACATGCGACGACAGGTCCCCGCCAGTGCGGTACCACGCAGAGCTGTTTCTCGGCCCTAGAAGCCCTCTGTGCTCCCCGTCTTCATGCCTCTCTCCCCACTCCCACTCCGGACAACCACTCCTCTTGTCACTGTGTCCATAGGTTCACCTTTTTCAGGATGTCACAGAGTGGGGCTCACACAAAGCGTAGCCTTTTCAGATTGACTTCCTTCCCTTAGTCACATAGATTTAAAGCTCCTCACGTCTTCTCACGGATTGGCAGCTCATTTCTTTCTAACGCTGAGTAACTGTTGTCTGCAGTTTATTTACCCACTCATCTACTGAAAGACATCTTGGTTGCCCCTGTCCAGAGTGTTGTTGCCGCTACAGGAATCACATGATGCAGAACACGTACAGCAGCAGCATTGCCAGAAAAGCCGGGTCGTGGGTGAGGAGAGCTCGGCCGGTCCCCTCGATGGCCACGCCGAGCCCTGCAGGTTGGCCGGTCCCCACTGTACTCGTGGGCCCTGGGTTCCTTTTGCCGCTGGTCCCCCAGGGAAAGCACAGAGGCCGGAAGTAGGCTGAGCCTCTTTCCTTCTTTGTCAGGAACGTGGGAGGAAGGGTTTATTCACTGGGTGGAATCCCCTCGGGCCTGACCCACAAGTGTCGTGTTCTGTGTGCCTGGCACGCCCGAGACACGCAAAGCCGCCCTCTGATCCTTTTCATTGGCCTCGGATGGAGCGAGGACCTCTGAGTGTGTGATGTCCCCGCCTGCTGACAACAGACAACAACTGGTGTCCAGCCAGCGCCTCTGGGGCCCCCAGCCCAGCTCCGACCGCAGCGCGGCTGCTCCCTCCGAGCAAAGCCTCCCCAGGCTGGTGATGGCCAGGCCCCTTTCAGGTCCTCCAGCCTCTCCTCCCGCTGGGAACCCACGGCCGGTGGGTTGCACGGAGAGTCCTGTTCATGGTCCTCCTGGGAGGCCGAGGAGGGGCTGCTCTCGAAAACCAGCAGCCACACTGGGGAACTCTTCTTTCATCTCCAGCGTTTGGCCACTCCATCCCTGACCTCACCATCTCCCTTGGCCTTGGAGACTCCGTGGGTTCCCCCAGGAGACTGTGGAGAAGTGAGTGGTCCATGGAGGAGACCACGAATGGGTCACTTGGTTTCCCCCGGAGAAGCCGATGCTGGTGCTGAGTGGGCCCGAGTTGGAGCTGAGCACCCGCAGGGCACATCCTCGGTCTGGTGGGGGAGAGAGGACGGCCGGGTATCTGGCAATTCTTCCCACTCTGGGACAGAGCTGCAGAGGCGGCAGCTGGGGGTGGGGGTGGTTCAGAGGCTAGGAGCGGGGCCCAGGCTGACCTGCTGACTCCTTCCTCTGTCCCTCTCAACACTTCACAGAACCTCTCTGGGCCTCAGCTTCTTTACCTATCATCTGAGTTTATCATAAGACCTACTTGCAGGGTGACAGGGAGGAATCGTGCACCAATGCACGTGGGGCCCCAAACGCAGGGAGCAGAGCACCCAGGGCACCGTGCCCATTGGCCAAGCCACCTCCAGGGAGGGCCCGTCAGTGTGTCGTCCAAACCGCAGGGGTGTCTTTGACCTGCACCCCATGGATACGCCGGCCCATGTGCAGTGATGGCGACTCGGGCCCGCCACACAGCATCCCAAAGAGGGTGAAGCATGACGCCCGTTGCTGACCCGGAAGGTGCCACCTGCCTGCAGCTCTCTGTGGCCCCAGGATGCAGGGTGAGGCGGAAACCAGGCATGCAGTCGCGTGTGTGTGTGTGTGTGTGTGTGTGTGTGTGTGTACACGGGGAGGCCGGGATCCTCTGGAACTGGCCACAGATGCAGCCCTAGGGGCCGGACTGGAGGGAGAATGTTCACCCTTCCACTCTTTGCACCTTTCAGATTCTGGACCCTGTGCACGTGTGACCGAGGGGAGTAACAGAGTTCAAACTTCTAAGAAAGTGTTGGCTGGGTAGGGAGCGTTTGTGGCAAAGTTTTGAAACTGGAGGTTGCTGGTGGAGACATGACGTCGTGGACGTGGAAACGCTGAGTCGTGCACTTGGAAATGGTTGTGACTGTCACCCAAGAGCAAAATAAAGACAGGGAGCTTACTGCTCCCGGGGGCTGCCTGATGCAGGCCTGTGACCTCTGACTGTGGAAATGGATGAACAGAAGGAGCATGGGTCAGAGGTCAGGAGGCTCCAAAGTCACCCCCAGCCTCCCTGCTGCCCTTGGGTTGGGGGAGGAGTCAGGGTTGGGGGAGGGGTGTGAGAAGTGGGCAGAGTGTCCCCTCAAATAAACACATCTACAGGGCGAGTCTCTTTTGTTATCCTTTTTTTCATTATTTAAAAAAATATGTTACAAAACAATATCATTCACCATATATTTCTTATTTTTCTTTAAAAAAATTAAAGTAATAAAAAAAGTCACTTTATAAAATAATACAAAAGGGTGGGAGAGGGTGGGGGCTGGCTGGGAGGTGGCTCCTGGGTCAGGGGCTGAGGGATCTGGTGCTTCTGGTTCCCCAAGGTGGGGGGAGGCGGTGGCGGGGAGGGGGAGCCGGGGGAGGTGTCCCAGGGCCGCAGCGGGGCTGACTGCAGGTCCACCTTCCCCGAAGGCAGGGGGAGGCAGTGCAGGCTGTCGGCAGGTGGGGGGTGTCCAGACCCAGGGTGGGGTCGGCCTGGCCACTGTCCCAGGAGGGAAGGAGAGCCTGGCAGGGCGGCTGGGGACAGGCCCACTAGCTCTCGCTGCTCAGCATCCCGAGCAACTTCCCGGGCTCCAGGCCCTGCTGCTGCGCCACCTTCTGCACATCGAAGCCCATGTGCATGAGGAACTGGGCCACGTTCATCTCCTGCCCCGTGAACTGGTCCCGGATGGTGGGGCAGGAGGGGTTGCAGTGGGGCCAAGGGCAGCTGTCCACCAGGTGGACTGGGCAGCCCTGCAGGGGGGCTTTGCGGGCCTTGTGGTTGTCATGGAGGCTTCTGTCCCAGCAGTGCAGCGCCCGGGGCAGCGAGGTCCCTTTAACCTGGACGTCTGTCCAGTGGCTACAGACAGAAACCCAGGTTGGGGGTCACTCAGGGAGGGGCCAAGCAGGGGACGGCCTTGCTACCGCAGAATCCTTGCTACACAGCTGGTATGTAAGTGGCTTTGAAAGCCCCAGAAAGGAGCCAGAGCCTGGGAGGGCGGAGGGCAGGCATGCTGGGGTGGGGGTGCCTCATGTTTGGAGCAGAGCCAGGGATGCGAGCTATCCCAGGGCAAGGGCCACTGACCTCCGGGTGATGATCTCGTGGGAGAGGCAGGCAGGGGCAAAGCTGGCCCTGTTGAGGAGAAGACAGCCTGTGAGCAACCATCTCCCACCTCAGCCCCTTCCATGCCCCAGAGCCCACAGGTCTCAGTTCCCCCTGCCCTCGGCCTGGCTACCCCCTCCCTCTTGCCAGGGTGCCAGCCCTCATGTTCCCTTGTAAGCCCTGTCCCTGCTGGCCTCCACATCCTGCTCGGAGTGGGGGCTCTCCTGGACAGGTGAGTACCTTGTTTTTCTTCTTTTTTAAAAAGATTTAAGGTTTTTAAAAAATATTTATTTATTTATTTATTTGGGGGAGGTAATTAGGTTTATTTATATTAATTTTTTTAATGTTAGATTTTTTTGCTAGTTTTTGGGGGAAGCAATTAGGTTTTATTTGTTTATTTTTAGAAGCAATGCTGGGGATTGAACCCAGGACCTCCTGTGCCTGCTAGGCACTCACTTCCTCACTGAGCTATGCCCTCCCCCCGACTTCAGTTTTCGTAGAAGTTTTAGGTTCACATCAAAGTGGACTGAAGATGTAGAGAGCTCCCCTTTATCCTCTGCCCCCTGACACACACAGCCCCTCATGAGCAACAGCCTCCATCAGATGGCATCTTTGTTACAACCAAGGAACCTACGCTGACTCATGACTCATCTCCATCCCCCAGAGTCCACAGTTCACATCAGGGTTCACTCTGGGTGTTGCACCTTCCATGAGTCTGGACAAGCGTGTGATGACAGGTCTCCACCAGAGTGGTACCAGCCCAGCTGTTTCTAGGCCCTAAAAGCCCTCTGTGTCCCCCCGTCTTCATGCCTCCGTCCTCCAGCCCCCAGAAACCACTGATCTTCTTACTGTGTCCAGGGTTTTGCCTTTATCAGGACATCACAGACCTAAAATCACACAAGCAGCCTCCCCAGACTGGCCTCTTCCGCTTAGCAGCATGCACGTGGATCTCCTCCATGTCTTTTGGTGTCTCAGTGGCTCACTTCTCTCTCACTCTGGGTCCCACTCCCATCTAGGGAGCCACAGTTCATCACCGACTGAGGGACCACTTGGCCACTTCCTATTCTGCCATCTTGGAGGCCTCTGTTTTTCAGTCGAGGGGTTTACCGCACAGGGGTCTGAGGGGGATCCCCAGCACTCACGGCACGTCCTTGAGTGTGTTTCGAAGCTCACGGCCCAGGTTCTGGATGTAGAGCCACTGGCCCTCCTGCACCGGCTGCCCCGTGAGGTGCACATTGTCCACAGTCAGCTGAGCTTCGTCAAACAGCCACTGTACCACGAACACCGGGCCTGGGGCCAGGGTGACGGCTCAGCTGGGCCCCAGCTCCTGCTGAGCACCACCCCCCCAGGCCCGGGGTCCCGAGGTGGCAGCCAGGCTCTCCCCGCAGGGTGCCAGCTGCCAGACCCCCAACCACAGCACCGTTCCTTGAAGAGGTGTCTTGTTCCACCCCCACCTTCGCCTGGTTCCCAGGGACTCTGCTTTGACCAAAATGTGGTGACAACGTCCCCCCAAGTGTAGAGCTGGGATGCCAAGGCCCCACGCAGGGGCATGGAATCCAGGCTAAAGCACATTCTCAACTGTGGGTGTGGCCGGGTGACCTACCACCCTGGTTTGCCTCGAACCGAGTGGACTTTTTGTGTCAAGACTGGGAAAGTCCTGGCCAAACTCAGATGACTCTATCACCCTTCCCAGGTGGGGCAGTGGCCTCTGGGCCCTGCCTCCTAGGGCTTGACTCCAGCTGGGTTGTCAGCAGGGGGAGAAAGTCTGGACACCGTCCCCCCCACCCGCCCGCCTGCCGTCGGTCCCACCCCTAC